CTTCTTGTCTAAAAGTATGTGTTGAATCAGTCCTCTTATCTCTTAAATTTTTAAAAACCAAACCAGTACATGCAAGACATGCTAAACTCTATGGCTTATCTGATTTAAGGAGGTTTACTTGAGCCTTACTTGCTTATGTGCCTCCACTTTTACTTGTATTATGTGTTTTGATTAACGTCTTAGTATTTTGTCCTTTGAAACTCTAAAAAGTCCCCAAATCCCTTTCCCTTTAGGATTAGTAGTCCTAGATGCCTCCGGGACTGATAGAATTGGGACGGGTACTAGCATGCACTAAGCAACGAAACTTTCCGCGCTTTAATACCTTAACGGGGTGGGAAGGGTAGAATATGGATATGATGACCGGTGCGCTAATATCACGTGTGACCCCTATTCTGAGGAGTGATTGCTGGATATTGCATTGATGTGATCCATATTATCGGTAAACCTAGGACCCCTTTCCCCTTTACTTGTTAATTTTTTAAGTTTTCTTTTTAAATTAATTTTCCAAACTCTCTACTCCTTCAACTCTTAAACTTGTTTGCAAAACTATGTGAAAAATCCTTTTCTTTTCTACTTGTCTGCTTAAAGTCACAATTGTAGCATGGCCGAAAACCACACCAGTGGATCTTGAGGGGTGCCTAACACCTTTCCCTTGAGATAATTTCTAGCCCTTACCCGAACTCTGGTTTTTCCAATTCAAACCTTTCTTAAAGTGTCCTAATGCACTATAATCATTAGGTGGCGACTCTTCAACTTCTAAGACCCAATTCTCGAAAGGGAATAGAGTTGTCCTCCCAATGTCGTATACCCGATTTCGACCCACTCGTAGAAAAAGGGGGCGTCGACACCTGCTACATCATTGCCTCAAGTCTAGCAAACCCATCTTCCTGCCGTCCACCATGCTCCCGCTGAGGAGGGTGATACCCCTGCTGCTGATTTTGATTATTATATCCCTGTAGCCTTGGGTAAGGTGCCATATTGTTAGGAGGTCTCATACCTCCCATGTTACCATTATTGAACTATTGCTGGGCTAGACTGTATGGCTGATTTTGTTGGGCCCAATTCTGACCACCCTGTCTCTGGCCTCCATAATTAGACACGTAGTTCATGTCTTCAGGGTAGTGATAATGATCATGTTCTGCATTCCACTGACTACCAATTTGTTGACTAATACAAGATGTACACAAGCCCCCATTGGTAGTATCTACGATGTGTACCTGCTGCTTCTACCCTAACTCTTCCACCTTTTTGATGAGTATACTCATCTGTGTTAATAAGGTGGCCATATTTTCAGCCATAAAGTTGGATGGATCTAAGGGCACTGAGTGAACCACTGGAGTGATCGATGCATTCCTGGTTGTTCACCCCAAATTCTGTGCCATCTTGTCAAGCAGACTCTGGCTTTCTCTCCATGTTTTGCTCAAAAATGCTCCACTAGCTGAAGCATCGACAATGTTCTTCACGCTATCTGACAATCCCATGTAAAACCGCTGCCCCAACATCAGATCTGGGATACCATGATGCGGATATATAACCAGTATCCCTTTGAAACGTTCCCATGTTTCATGCAGTGTGTCCATTGGTCTCTGTTTAAAACTCAAAATTTCATCAATTTGTTGAGCAGTCTTGTTGGGTGGGTGGAACTTGTTATGGAATTGCTTGACTAACTCCTCCCAAGTTGTTATGGAATTAATGGGGAGTGAGTTTAGCCAGGTCTAAGCAGCTTCTGTCACTGAGAATGGAAATAATAACAGCTTGATTGCTTCCGGAGTTACGTTGGGTTGCCTTTGTGTTTTGCAGATTGACAGAAAATTCTTCAAGTGTTGTTGAGAATCTTCGACTTGTGACCCCGAAAATAGTCCCTTGTTTTGCAACAAGTGCAACATATTATTCGTGATTTAAAATGATTCAGCTTGTATCTGCAGGACTACAATCGCTGTGGCCAGATTTTCAGCTGTGGGTTGTGCCCAGTCATAGAGAGCAGCCTCTGGCGCTATTGGTACAGCTGGGTCTACTTCGTGATCCCCCATGTTTGGTTCGAATTGCTCAGTTGTTTGTTGTTGTTTGTTTTTTCCAGTTGGCCCGATTCAAGGCCTTGAGAACTCTCTCGGGATCTGATAATGCTTCAAATACTTCACCAGTTCTTGATGAGTTTCTAGGCATGCACCTGTACAACCAAGTCAACAAACGTTAAAATTTCAGTGTATAGATTGGGTGTAGAGAAGACTGACTACGCTAAGAATTTTTGTATTTCTTTCAATTGTAATTGATACCATCGTTAATTCACCGGCAACGACGCTAAAATTTGATCACGCCCAACTATGCCTTATAAAAAGGGCACGCGGACGTTGCAAATATAATCTGAGTATTTAGCTCAGAGTCGAACCCACAAGGAATTAACGTATTAATTACTCTCGTTATACTTACTAAATTCTACGGAATCAAATTCCCAAACGTTCGGAATAACAATTGAAGATATTTCTACTAACTAAGAATGAATGTAAATAAGCAACTGAAAACTAACTATGATTAAGTTGTAAACAAGTAAGAGAAGATTCTAAGGTTATGATTTCCCCTATTGATGGAATCCCTTTCGGTTATGGTTCACATAGATTCGCCTAATTGTCTCTATCAATCATGAACACTCTTATTACTATAAATCTCTCCCGAGTAATCACAATAATTTACTAAATGCACTCTCCCGAGATACACTAGCTGGCTTTGTTTGTTACAGCTCACTTTAGACTGCACCCAAGGCTTCGTTATCCCTAATCCCGCCTTTAAACCCTCAGTTATTGATCCCTCATATACTTTGGGAGTGATGTTGTTCAATAATTACCTAAATATGCACTCTCTCCCGAGTTATGCACATTAAATAGGTACAGATAATTGAGGATCCTATCAATTAACTACAACAAGAACGTAGTTGAACAAATAGAGATTAAACCAGGAAAACTATATTAACATAACAAGAAGTTCATCCTTCAATAGGTTCCATCAAAACCTTAGAATAAATATTTAGCTACTCATACTAGGGTTCATCATAACAACATTCAAATTCATCACAAATCGTAAAAACAAAAGGAAGAACTCGATGTTGAATTATCCTCCTTGCCTCTCCTTGACTTGAACTAAGCTATGAAAACCTTGATAATCCTCCCTAGGGCGAGTTAGACCTTCTATATGTTAAGTGGATTTTTCCCTGAACTTCCAATTTTACCCCTGAAATTTACTTTTCCGGATCTGGGCTAGCACGGTCGCGCTAATGGATGCGCTAGTGGCCGTGCATATGCCCTATCATTCTGCCTCGACCATCTGGGCTAGCGCGGTCGCGCTAGTGGACGCGCTAGTCCAGGTCTTCATTTCATCACTTCTTTCTCTCGTCTTCCCACGTGCTCAGCTCCTAGGGGCTTTTCTTGCTTCAATTTAGTTCCAATCATAGTCTTAAGTCCTCATACATGCTACGCACTCTTGCAACGTGTGAAATTCACATTTAGAGCCAATTTAACATCATTTAACTATATTTTAGCAGTGAAACATAATCAAGTTGGGGCATAAAAAATCACCAAATTACATAAATCTAGCCTATTATCAATATTCATCATATTTCTTAAAATAAAATTTACACATTTACAAACTATATGCAAATGGCAAAGATTCAAAATATTTATAGCCCGTTTGGATTAGCTGATTTGAAGTAGCTAATAAGCATTAGGTGCTGAAAATCACTTTTAAGTGCTGAAACTGATTTAATAAATAAGTAATTACATGTTTGGGTATAAGTGCTGAAATTAATAATAAGTTGCTGCAGTATTTTATACAAAAGTGCTGATAAGCTCTTTTTATGTAAAATGACTTAAATAACCTTAGAACTGTTTACACTTATAAGGGTGTAATTTCTTCAAACTTTTAGATTCCAGATCGATTCAAATACAAAATATTATATTTGTTATTTTATTTTAAATACAACTGTGCCTAGATAAGATAATTTTTATGATACATATAATTTATTTTATGATAAGCATATAATTATAAGTTATAATACTTAATAAATTGACAAAAGTTTCTCAGTAAAAAATAGACCTAAATAGGATAAAATATTTGAAGAGAAACAAACACTGTCTTCATCACCACAACACTTAAAAAGCAATACACCCAAAATTTGATAGGTCCTCATTTATTACATATAGTTCAAAGATTAATACACAATCACATAGATACAAATATGCAAAGGAATAGCGAATTTGCTTATCTTAAATAGTCAATGAAAATTGCATACTTGAAGAGGCTGGGGGGGTTAGGTTGAATACTTGAGGCAGTGAGTATTGATGTAGGAGTTTTGTTCTAAATAGGAATATTTTAAGGATAAAATAGTAAAATTCTTGGTCAAACTTAAAGTGCTTATAAACTAAAAATTCATAAGCTGGGGGTGACCAGCTTATGGCTTATTTTTGACTTATAAGCACTTGACTTATAAACACTTTTAACTTTACCAAACGCGTAGATAAATCGAAAAATGCTTATAAGCTAGTTTGATTAGCTTATAAGCTTAGCGAAACACCCTCTCAGAAAAGTTTGAGAAAATTATAATTAAAAAAAAAAGCAGTTTGATTCCCCAAATAGTAATACATTCACACAATATATGGTATGGAGGGAGGGAGTATATATATTATTATGAATACTATATTTATTTGATTAATATAACGAGTTTCAAAAATCAATTTTTTTTTATTAAATTATATGGCAAGTTAAACTATGACAAATAAGGTGAAACACATGATGAAGTATATACGCAATAGAACTAATTAAAAATGTGTTTTTTCTGCAGAATTAGATCCTATCATAGATTGTTCAATATAAAAGTATTATCCTAGTTAACGACAGTTAACATCAGTTCAGAAAAGAAAGTTTGGTGCTAATGCACTGCCCACTTGAGTTTTTCTCCTTTTTGTCTATAAATAGAGACTTGAAAGAGGTCTGTTTTAAGCAACAACATAACAATGACTAAAATGATTCTCTTGGTCAGAGCTAATTTCTTTCTTATTTACTTTTTCTTTTTCATAAGATCTGAAGCAAGAACTTTACTAGGTACTAATCTTTTCTTATTTTTCACTTAACATTAGTATCATTTCTCACATGCAGATATTAATATAACAATACTGATATTATGCTACTCTATATTTTTATTTACAGTATTATATTTCTTTTGTGTCGCTGGCCTGTCTTCTTATTCTTTTCCTCAGTTTCCTATTTCCTGGGTGTTTTGAAACATAGGAGTATTTTATTTAGAAACGTGGTGATACTGATAAAACCTATTCAAGCCATCTGGAGGAGATGATGTTTTATTGTTGCCTCCTTTTTGTAGTTATCTTTGTTAGGGACAAAGAAATTTAAAATTTAGAAGTGTTGTGCTCAGACTAGTTACGTTGTTATTGATTACGTATACATTTAAAATTATTTTTACATGGGTATACATAATTTAAGCCAAAAGTAGAGATTGTTACTTTTTCTTTTTTTGATTAACAAAAACAGAGATTGGTTTATTAACTCTTTGACCCTCTAACCATCTATGGTGTTGACTGCCGCGGGAAAATCAGGAATTTACTTAGTTAAGAGTGTTCAAGAATTAGTACATATATATTTGATCTATACGCAGTATACTCTGGTGGTGTTCCTAGCTATGCCTCTCGTGTTGAGTAATTAACCACAGAATTTGTGAAACTTTTTTATTTCCTTGTGCATGCACATAATTCATTGACTTGTCTAGTTATAAGCGAATCACGTAGACTAACTTATATTTGCTGGTGCTACAGAAAATCATTATGGGAGGGAACCAGTTCCACTACCTCCAACCCCAGAATCTGCTTCACCAAGTAACCAAGAAAGACTTAAGAGGCACGCTCATCTTCCACCTCCTGCGCCCAAACATGGTCCGAAAATCGATCAAGTCACAACAAGCAGATATGGTAGGGAAATCAGTGAACTGTTAATGACAATTACAAGCAATGTTATTAGTGATAATGAGCTGCTAATTTTGCTTCCGAGTACTTCATCGGACAACCAAGAAAGATTTGGGAAGCAGAGTCATCTACCACCACCAGCACCAAAGCCAGCTGATGAACAGGGTCAGATAATTGTCACTTCCTCTAATTGTCAAGATCATGATCACATGAATAGTAACAACTATGGAAGAGAGGAAAAAATACTACCACCTCCAACTCCAAAGCCAGCTGATGAGGAGGGTGAGATTATTATCACCTCCTCTACTACTACTAATGATGATCAGAATAGTAACTATATTGGAAGAGAGGGACGAATACTACCACCTCCCTCACCCCACCATGCTGCACCCATTGGTCAACTCACTAGCAGATATGGCGGCCAAGGACTTAAACCTTACAAATCTCTAATTTCCTCCTTACCTCTTCAGGCTTCCTAATTGATTAGGCTTCTATAGCTCTACGTCGGAACGTTATGTTAAGTGGCCCTACTAAGTAGTAGTAGTAGTATAGTATTTGGTTTAGTACTGTTGCGGAAGCCAAATGTATAGAGTGTGAATAAGTCACAACTACTATACCAAAAATTATGACAGCCACCAAATAATAAATAAGACAATAAAGCAATAATAAAGGGAACACCAGAATTTACGAGGTTCGGCTAATTTTGCCTACTCCTCGGACACAACCAATATTTTATTCCACTCCAAAAATACAAGTGAAATAATACTAAAGAGAGAAGATACAAATGCCTTAAACAGATGAGAAGGCAAATGAGAGGTGTGTTTCAATCCTAAACATTAGGCCTTCTTTTATAGGGGAAAAATCCCCCCCAAACTTAACTCCCAACCAATGTGGGACTTTGGCATTTTGCCAAACTTCAACAAGTACTTCTTAATATAACCTGCTTTTAGTTCAGCTATATATATCAGCTATATATATATATATATGAAAGATGGACTAATAACGTGAGTTAGTCTATATATCCTGCAGGCTGCGTGCATGCTCTATATGTATAGTCGGTGTTGTGTAATATAACTATGTACTTGGTAAATGAATTTAATGAGTGATGGTTCATGGTTTCAGTGCAACGAAATATCTATTATCATTAATTATAATGACATGCATTCTGACGCGCCGACGCCTACACTAACCCAATAATAACATGATACTGTATATGTGTTCGTCTTTGTTATTATTAAGCCATACTTAATTATATATAATACATTAATTTTTACTTTGATTCACTTAATCATAGTAAATTAGTATAGTTTGGCGCAGCAATAATGATATTCAGAAGATTGAGCAACTTCAATAATGATTCCAGTATTATATTCCACTAATGTTTATGATCACCTTTTTACAAGTTGGAGTCGATTCTTTTTTTTTTTTTTAATGGTCCCTTGTGTCGAGAAAGATGATAGATAGCTCAGTCCAAGAGAATCTAAAAGGAAAAAGAATGAAAAAGTTTAATCTTAGATTGTTCAGGGGAAAATGCATAATTATATATATCGATAGTGTTTACTTGGCCACCTTTTGTATACGATGTTATCACTTACTCATAAATAAACAATAGTATTCATTTTTGCTTTGAGTTTATCGTTGAATTATGATAAGCTATTTATAAATTAATTTGGAATAAAAATACTGAGTGCCATCGATTAATTATTTTCGTTTTTCCCTTGCTGAGAGGGAGGAGCTTTGTGCAAACTTGTGGTGGCAAAATGAATTAAAAAAATAGTATCCATCCATTTTATCCATTATATAAAGAGTTGGATAATGGACTTTTTAAATATGGGTCAAATATGGATAAAAATCATATTATCCACTTAGAAAATAAATAACTAATGTATAACTAACGAGTTTAACTTTTACATTTGTAAAGACTGAAATTGGGAGTTCCTCAAGTTTGAAAGATTAGGAATTCTCACAAAAATAATATTCAAAAAATCATAAATAATAGTATAGATATTCATATTATTCGATGATTAACCCACTTTTAAATATGAGTCAAGTCAATTAATTTATCCGTTTTTGTATTACCTATTTTCGACGCGCTCATATTCAACCCGACCCGTCCATTTGCTTGCATTCCCACGGATGTTTTGGGTTTAAGGCACAATTGATGGTGGGATAGGTACATCTCAAAGAAGGCATTAAAATCATGAATGTGTGCTACTTCAAAGTTAATTCTGAAATTAAAGAGCCACAGAATATAAATATACTAGCTTAAATGATTATAAAACCAACATCTGTAAAATTTGTGGAGAGTGGGCCTAACAAGCCACTAACTTTACCAAGAAAGTAAAGATACTCTTTGTTTTGATGGAAAATCTCACTTTATACCCATTAATTTCAAATTATTTATTCTTTAATGCTCAAGTTCAAACTATTTATTACTTTTATTTATGCGGCCCAAATTATTTACCCGGCTATTCATTTATTCTATTAAAATAGCTGAGAAAAATCAGAAAGAGTGCGGTCTCTTCTCTTCTCTCTTTCTTCTTGATATCAGTAATTCCCCAATGCATGTTATTTTCCTTTTCTCTGAAACCCCTTATATATTTTTCAGCCTTATCTCTTTAGTTTCTTCTACATATTCAAACACCATCTTCTCCTTTTTACTAGATCCAACAGTCACCACCTCAAAAAAATCATAAAACCAATAACGAAATACCAAAAATTTTGCAAAAAAAAAATATTACCCTTATGATTTCTTGAAATATTCTCGTCAAAATTGAAGAATTATTGTTAGTTTGAGGAATTATTATTTTTGGGTAGTTTGGGTTTTGTAGAGTGAGAATGAAAGTGACCCAGAAAGAAAAGAAGGCTTGGTCTTAATTTTAGTAATTCTAGATCCTTGAATTATTTCCTTGTTTGCTACTTCTTGAGTTACTTGTAGTTTGTTCTTACAAAATTGTTCTTCTATTTTCCATATATGCTTCTTCAAAAAGAAATTAGATCTGATTATCTGAGAAGTTAACTTCTGGCTAGTTTCAATTCTGCTCCACTTTTTCTTGATTGTTCTTTCCCTAGCTCTTGCTCTTTCCTTGGCTTAAAATTTTTATTTTGAAGATTTCTTATTTGATTCAAAGTGAGTGCTGTTAAATATTACTTATAATGCCTTCTGGAAGTTCATACTGAAATTTGATAGCATTTGGAGTTGATTTGAGATCAAAATTTTCAGCTGAAAATCGAAGAACAACACATCTACCCAATATTATACTGCTACGATATACAATATGATGTAGGAGTATAAAACTATACTGCAACAGTATACTATTATAGTTTACAATATACTGCAACGGAATATTGTAATAATCGAAGAAGAATACAGTTGCCTAATAGTATACTACTATAGTATACAATATACTATAGGAGTATATAGTTATACTGCAACAATATACTATTATAGTATTCGATATATTGTTATAGTATATAGTAATAATATGCAATATACTATAACAGTATGATGTAATAGTATACAATATACTATAATATTATACTTATTACTCGTAAATTTACTTGCCTTTTTCTTTTTAATTTGCTTTAAGATTTTACCCAGCATGAGGGGCAAATTGAAAATACAAAAAAATCATTTTACACCAGGATCTAGGTAGGCGGGCGGTAGTCCGCACGGCCATCCAGATCTAGCTGCTTTAGTATACTTTAAAGGTTGGCGGTAGTCCGCACGACCAATAAGGATTCGAAATATAAGAAAATTCTATTATAGTTTAATGACTGTATGGAAGGATCTATATCCTTTTNATATGCAAGAGAAATTAGTTCTTCAACATAGATATGAATCCGTTTAGCCGGACATAGTCACGGCTAGGGAGAGAGACTAGAAATACTAAAAAGAAAAATAAAAATATGTACCTTGTAGGCCGAGAAGCAAGGCCCTGAAGATGAACTCCAAAACTTTTATTAATTCTTCAACTTGATTTACAAACTATAAACTAAACTATATACTAAATGTTTACAAAGGTGGTTGGTTGAGAGAGAGAGAGAGAAAGAGTAGAGAGAGAGGGGGGGTTCCGGCTCTTCCTTCTTCAAATGAAGAAGCATCCTTATATAACAAAAAAAAAAGAATCTTGAATAGTAAAATAGGTCCCACATATGGGTCCCTACACAGTGTTTTTACTGTAGATAAACAGTGTTTCTACTGTGGATGAACAGTGTA